CAAGTTCAAAAATTTTATATTTGATAATGGAAATCCAAACTAGTCCTGTTTCACGGTGTTGATGAGCTCATTCGGCCCACCATCCTTATCTAATTTCAGTAATAACTATTTCATACTAGCCCAATTTGTTTACCATATACAGTCAGAATTCCAAGTTTTTTTAGTCATACTGTTGGAAATCCAACCTCATCAACCGGTATGTGGCAAGATAAACTAGGCCATATTTTATTTAGTAGCCATAACTGCCTGGATTTCCAGGAATTTTTTTTCCCTACTCGTCTGGATTTCCAGATTCTGTTTCTTTCATATACAGTTGGAATTCCGGGGTATTTTCCCCATCATACAGTGCTGGAAATCTGACCACATCAACAGGGGGTGCAGATATAAACTGGAATGGCCCAATGCCAGGTTAATACTGTATAATAGAGCTTAATTCACACCTTGTCATCAGGGAAATCACATACCATGCTATCAGATCCTAATCTACACCCTGTACTCATCTCATAATCCCATGAAATGCTATCAGAGTCTACTTCAAAACCTGTAGTCACCTGGTAATCCCTTGCCATGCTATCATAGCCCACTCCCCACCTTGTGCTCAACTGGAAATCCCATGCCAAACTATCAGAACCTACTCCCACCCTGTACTCACCTGATAAACCCATGCTATGCTATCATAACCTACTCCATACTCTGTACTCATCTCGTAATCCCATCAAATGCGATCAGAATCTACTCCCACCCTGTACTCACCTGGTAAACCCATGCTATGCTATCATAGCCCACTCCACACCCAGTGATAACCTAGAAATCCCATGCCAAACTATGAGAACCTACTCCCACCCTGTGCTCACCTAGTAATCACATACCATGCTATGCTATCATAACCTACTCCACACACTGAACTCACCTGGTAATCCCATAAAATGCTATCAGAGTCTACTTCACAACCTGTACTCTGCTGGTATTACCATGGCATACTATCAGAGCCTACTCAACAACCTGTACTCTCCCTGGTAATACCATGCCAAACTATCAGAACCTATTCCACACCCTGTACTCCCCTGGTAATCCCATGTTATGCTATCAAAACCTACTCCACACTATGTACTCATCTCGTAATCCCATAAAATGCTATCAGAATCTACTTCACAACATGTACTCTCCTGGTAATACCATGCCAAACTATCAAAACCTACTCCACACCCTGTACTCCCCTGGTAATCCCATGCCATGTAATCAAAATCTAATCTTCATCCTGTACTCACCTGGTAATCCCATGCCATGCTATCAGGGCCTACTCCACACCCAGTAGGATCAGCACATTCTACAAATTCGGTGTCAACATCAAAACATTTTAAGGAACCTTTAGTGCCATTGTAATACAGACCTATATAACAGAGGAACACATTGAACAGACAATAAATATATTGCAAATCCGCAAGACTTAAATTCCATCACATTTGACCACTGTATAGCTATATTCTGACTCGGCCACAATATGCTATACAGCAGACATGTTCATAAAAATTCATGTAGTTATCAGATTGTTTGATTTATTAACAAGTTGAGTGTCAATCATACGTTTGTGCATTTGAAATGAAGTAAACGATTTTACTGCTGTCTTTGATAGAATCGCACTGAGCTGAATGTTGTCAATATATTTACTTTAATACAGTATAAGTCTTGTAAGATGAAAAGTATAATGAATTTCAAGCTGGTGTGTGTGTGTGGAGGGGGGGGGGGTTTATATCAATAAAGATGGCCGAGTATCTCACAGAAAAGACACTCAATATACTGTGACTTATACCTGCTGCCTGGACAAGTCCTACAAGTGGGTCAGAACTATTCATTATGTAACTGCAAGCAACCTGAAATAAAATAAAATACATGTTAATAGTATAGCCTTCCCATTATATAACATAGGTACATTTACACTTATAGACAAAAGGTAGATGTCTCCTCATTATTCTTATTGCCTTTTCTCATTGGTTGAGGCCAGTGTATTAAAATGTCATCAAAGGATATATGAAATATCAGAGACTAGCTAAAACACCAATCAGTGACCATAGTCATCAAATCACATGATCCAAGATATCAAACAATGAGTTTTTCTTTTCACTTATTTTTCACTTATTATTCTTACCAGTGTCTATAAATAGGAATTCTTACCTTGACTGGGTAGGCTGGAACAGGAACCAAAAAAGTAGTGGGATATGGGTAATCAAACATAGCTAGATTTGTGAGGGAGTTGCGTATCCATCCATTTACATGGTTCAATCTGTCCTTTGTCATTGGTTTACACAGACGCAGTATCTTGGTCAGTTTCTGTAAACCTGACAAACACAAAGATTTAATAGTGTTTATTAAGGATGAATTTAGTGGTCTTAAACCAATCAGATTAAAATAAAATCCTGGTTTGCGCTTTTTTAAAAATGTTTTTTTTTTGTATGTATTTATTTCCCTTTTTTCATATATAATATTTGACTTTAGTTGAATTTATATGCTGGTAGATTTTTTAGGTTGGTAATTGCAAAGTAACAATAATACAATATCCACCAGTATATAAATAATAAATTAAAACAAAATAAATTAATTGAAAGATAAGAATTAAATGCATATAATTGAAAAAAAAAATCAGATTTTTTAATCCTAACATGTTTTACATACGATGGTGCTATCATGAGATCATTATATACAACAATTTATTTAGCTCAAAAGTTTTGATAAGTTATTTTTCCAAAGTCAGTTGTTTTTAGAACACACCTTAAGCCAAATTTGTAACAGAAATGCATGATGGAGTTTATGGTAGTGAGAAGTGAGTTGAAATATTGGTGCAGTTTTCACCTGGTTTTTGGTGTTCTTGTAATGCCTGGAAATGTTTGGATTTCATACATTTAGCGATTTATTGCACGGAACCTACTCTAGCTAACCACATTGCAAGCATTTCTGTCACCATGGCAATTAAATTTAATAAATGGTGATTAAATAAATATTTAGTTTGCCATTTAGCGACTTAAAGAAAATCATACTGGCAACAAAACTTTCTGTGATATTAAAGAGACTATAAAGCACTTCTACCCACAATTCAACACATTTTGTTATCTGCCATATTTTACAACATATGTGTTTGTTTAAACATACAAGACTATAACATAATTAATATGCTGACATCACTAAAGTTGAATATCAGTGTGATGCAAATGGTATATTATGATTTATTCAACACCATGTGACCATCTTTCAGCCAATCAGCATGACGGTTTTGAATATGAGAGATGAAAACAAGTCAGTATACCGGAAGG